TTAAATTCCAGTGAAATATATTTATGTTTGTGGTTGTAATGTGACAAAATATGGAAAAGTTCAAGGGGTATGAATACTTTTGCAAACCACTATAGGTACCAAGGAACAGAGGTACCAGGGAACCGAGGTACCAGGGAACAGAGGTACCAGGGAATATAGGTACTGGGGAACAAAGGTACCAGGGAACAGAGGTAGTAGGGAACAAAGGTAGTAGGGAACAGAGGTACCAAGGAACAGAGGTACCAGGGAACCGAGGTACCAGGGAACAGAGGTACCAGGGAATATAGGTACCAGGGAACAAAGGTACCAGGGAACAGAGGTAGTAGGGAACAAAAGTAGTAGGGAACAGAGGTACCAAGGAACAGAGGTACCAAGGAACAAAGGTACCAGGGAACAGAGGTAGTAGGGAACAAAGGTAGTAGGGAACAGAGGTACCAAAGAACAGAGGTACCAGGGAACCAAGGTACCAGGGAACAGAGGTACCAGGGAATATAGGTACCAGGGAACAGAGGTACCAGGGAACAGAGGTACCAGGGAATATAGGTACCAGGGAACAGAGGTACCAGGGAACAGAGGTACCAGGGAATATATGTACCAGGGAACAAAGGTACCAGGGAACAGAGGTAGTAGGGAACAAAGGTAGTTAAATAGGGAACATAAGTACTGGGAACATCAATATCTTATGTTTCACAGTATTTACATATGCTCCCTAATACCCATATTACCCACTACCTATTTTCCCTGGTACCTACAGTATACTGTGGAACATAAGTACCCAAGAACATAGGTACTAGAGAACATATGGACCACTGTAGTACTTCTGGTGCTGCTTTTGGGCACATTTGAACAGAACTATTTATACCAGACCAAGTATGTAATGCAAAACTGATGTCAATTTCAAAATTTAATAAAATAAAAATAAAAATAGATTGTTTTATTGAATAACTATTAAATTWAAAATATTTAAATTGTTTTAAGATGGACAGGACTGAAAAGCTAATGTCAACTAGTCTGAGCAGGGCACGTTTCAAAGCAGATCTTAAAACAACTTCCATCTCAAATTCTTTTTCAGTAGTTTATGTGCAAGTCAATTTTAAAACTTTACATTTTTATCAACTTCAGAATATTCCAACTGACTATTATGATACTTCTGATGGATGTGASTGTTGCTGCTGCTCGCAAATAACCAAGACTGTAGTCGTTTTRGAGCGGCAGCAATCCACCTGGCTCTTACACCCACTCAACCTGAAGGACAAGCTGAAGGCCGCTCAGAATTAACAATTAACATCGTTATTCTGATCTATGGCTGGGCGGGGGACTAGATTCTTCGGACTCATCCTTCAGATATTCACACAAGTGCATACAACATTTATGGCTTCAGACACACGCCCTCTAAACTCACTCACTACTCCTCTGGCTAATAAATGTGATATTGCTCTGCAGAGGTATTTTTCTGTAAACACTGTGTCCACATTTCGTTGATATATGATGTTTTGTTTTGGTTTTCATCGTCTATCCTTGTGTGGTATTTGGCTTTTCTTTTTTAAGGGTAGCGCCTCCTCATAATGTCCTTTCATGATGATGATCATTGCCCTGTGCAGGGTCTATGGCTGCAAGACCTGGGGGCACTTCTCCTATTTGTTTATGTTCTGTCTTGTGAACGGGTGTTCTGAACTGTAATTTCCCTTTGGGATCAATAAAGTATAATCAATCAATCAATCAATCAATCAATCAATCAATCAATCAATCAATCAATCAATCAATCAATCTAGATGTTAGCTCACCAATAAGGTTAGAATGAAATCCTAATATTTTTAAAATTAGATCGTTCAAAGCGCTTTCTACAACAACTAAGAGAACGAATGTTCATAACTTCTCCACAGAACCCTACCTATTGTTACGACTTGAGCTTGGGTGATTAGAACCCCAGATGCTGAACTGAGTGATGGTGGCAGAAAAATTGTTTTATTAACAAAATCAAAACGCTGACGTGGCAGCAAAAATTAATACAAGGATACAAGGACTTGGCATGAGACAATAAGATGAATAGTTAATGAAGATCTGACACAGACTGAAGACAGAGAACAGAACATAAAGGAGAACTAATGAGC